CTCTATATGAACCCACACACAAACACATACATAATAAATAAATGTAATATAATTTTTGTTTTGTTTTTGTTTAAACAGAGTCTTGCTGTCCAGGAATTCACTAACCCTGTAGACCAGGCTGACATGGAACTCACAGACATCCACCTCCTCTCTCTTCTGAGTGCTGGGATTAAAGGTGTGTGCCACCACTGTCCAGCTATAATACAATTTTTAAAGGATGCCTCAAAGCCACACAATTACAGTGCTGTGTGATCTAGAAGAGGGGTTATGGCTCTCTGCACCGCCAGCAGAAAAGTTTCATGGAGATTTGATTCCCTGCCCCCTTCTGAGATTCAACCTCTGGCACTGGTCATTCCTGAGAAGGACTCAACAATGAAGCTACATCTCCAGCCTGTGGAGATGATTTTTCAATCAGGACAGGTGCACACATATCTAGTCCCAGCTATTTGAGCTGAGACTAAGGCAGAAGGATCACTGGAGCCCAAGAATTTCAGGCCAGGCTGGGCAACACAGAGACAGCTACTCAGAACTGGGAATGCTTAGGCAATGAAGGTCTGTGCAGTCCCTCTGCTGCACCATGCCTGCTAGCCTTATGAAGGTGAGTGGCACCTGCCCAGCCTAGCAAGCCATGTCAAGGGCCAATGTTTGATCAGTCTGATGCCAAACAGGCCAAGGTAAGAAGGAAAAGAACTCAGACAACTGACAGGTGAAGGGACAGGGTACAGACTCTGTTTATTGAGTGGTAGGCACAGGAGAGGTAGCTGTCCCCAGTGTGGAAGCAGAGGCGGCAGATCATGCCAGGGCACTGTGGGCATCTGGCGACCTAGGGTCCTTGTCCCTATCTCAGGGGAATGGCACAAGCTCACTACAGTAGGAGCAGCAAGGAGTTGGCCAGAGGACAGAGCAACCACAGTCCCCTGGCATCCTGGGCAAGAAGCAGCAGCTGTGCTCAGCACAGGGGCCGGGGATAACGGGAGCTGGGGCCTGGGTGCTCTAAGGGGAGTAAAAGGAGGTCATGTCTGTGGTGTGGAATAGAGGCTGTGGTGGTGGCCACCAGGTCCTGGCACCTGGGAGAAGAGCAGAGGCGTGGTCCTTGTCTGGCTGGCCCCACCCCAGCCTGGCTCACGCCCGATGGTACCATACCAGCTGCCAGAGCCCAGGCTGCCGGACATGCTGCAGGCAGAGAAGCAAGGTAAGTCCCAGGAGGCCCAGGTAGTGCCCAGGGTCACATTCATGAGATGGGGGAGCAGAGAGGCTAAAAACAGAGTGCCCTAGGTCAAAGGGCAAACTGCTTCTTGGGGCAGGGGCACTTAGCACTAGGAATCCAGAGGAGGCTCTACTCAGAACAAGTGAGGAAATAAGGCCTGGTTCTTGGTCTCCATTGCCTCATGGAGCCAGGCAGGACCCCAAGACCTCTCAGGCAGGGTTGGGGCTCCTACCTGGTGCTCTCACTCCGGCTGTGCTCCCAGGAACAGCCCTCATCCTCACAGTGCCCAGCCCGGTCAAAGAAGTAGGAACGGGAGCCAAAAACCTGCCCACTGAGGATTCGACTGGTGCTCTGCAGGTGTGGGGGGAGAAGTTGTTACTATGGATTTTCCCCCACAACTGACCCGGGACTCCAGGCTAGAACTGCCAGGGTCCAGCCCTCTCCACTGGACCTAGAGGTGATTGGGAGCCCTACCAGGTCCTGTGGGGGCCGATGTACCCTGAAGAAGCCCACCAGCAGTGTAGTGGGCAGCAATTCCCACACGAAGAGGATGAGGCCAAACACCAGGTAGCCCTTGTTCCCTAGGTCATTCACCAGGTCTGCCTGGGGGAAAGCAGAGGCTGAGGACAGTCTGCCTGCCACCACACAGACCATGCTGCCAGGGCCCTGGCCAGCTGGAGGCTAGATACTATGGTTACTAAACAAGGGGCAAACATGACCAATGCCTACCTGGTCTGATACGTTGTACCAGTCGTAATCGAAGGCATCTAGCCGGCTCCGAGGGGCCAAGGCCAGAGCTGCCAGGTTGTAACAGGCCCGGCTGGCATAGAGCAGAACCATGGCACCCCCTATGGCAGCCGCCTGGCACACACTGGTCCCCTGATAGAGATGACAATAGAGGATCTTCAGGGAAAGGAGGCTTCCATCTTCCTTTTCATCCTAAAGACCTCTACCCAAAGATCCCCCAAGGATACTACATCAGGGTTGGTGGCCCTACCTTAGCCTCTAAGTAGATACTAGTGGAAGGGGCTCGCCGGGCGACGAGGCAGAGACAGGCAGCAAGCGAGAGGGCACAGATGACGAAGAGGGAATCGCTCACCAGGACACGGACCAGCAGAAGGACCCAGGGCTGTGCCCGGCGCTGGCGGGACAGCACTGCACACAGTACATTCACCAGCAAAAAGAGCAGTGAAGCACCCACGAAGGCCCCTCGGACAGCCAGCCTGCAGCCCACAGCAGAGTCAGCCCCAGACCATGGATCTCCTTGGCCCTCACCAACCACCCTGACTCCTCAGAAGACCCCAGGGTCAACCAGAACTCAGATGGTCTAATCCAAACTCTGCTTGTCTAATTTTGCAGATGAGGAAACTGAGACTCAGGTGAGGTGACTGAAAGCTATGGCATCGTAGAAAGAGCACCAGATAGGGGAGTCAAACATCTGGATCTGAGCCTTGACTGGATCTCCTTCCAGCTGTGTGACCTTGAATACATTGCTTGCTCTAACTGGGCCTCAGTTTCATCTCTCAAATGAGAATAAGAAGAGTATCTCAGGCGAGATACTGATGTGAAAAGGTACCAAGGACAGGGGCTATGCAGCCAAGGTCACCAGCAGTGCAGCAGACTTTATCTATTCCATGGATTGTAACTTCTATCTTTTCCCACCATGGATGGTGATGGCGCTCTCTCCCCTGATACCATCACAGCTGTCTGCACCTGGTGCTTTAGTTTTTCCAAGCCCTATCCCAAATGTTTCTGGAGTTCTTCTTGTCTCAACCCTGCTGGGTGGGCTCCTCCCTGCCACTGACCCATTAACATCTCCAGTACTTACAAGCCTCGGCTCATCTCTGGCCGACGCTTCGCCTTGGCCTTGAACACCACCTGGGAGCAGAGACACCCATCACTCCTTTGGACCCTTGGGCTTGCCCTCCTATTCCCACCACACCGGTTCCCGTGGTTACCTGGGCAAAGTAGAGGTTCATAAGCGTCAGTGTGAAGAACTGCAGGCAGACAGGGCAGCAATAGAGAAGCCAAAAAGGTAAAGGCCCCAGGCGGTTGGCCCTGGGAGTATCTCGGAAGTAGAAGGAGAAGAGTGTGGTGCGCAAGGCTGCCCAGAGCAGACAGAGTGCCAGGAACACCGTCTGATAGCTGAGGCGCTTGTGCCCATACAGAAGCACCAGCCAGAGCTGGGCGTAGACAGAGAAGAAGAGCAGAGCATATAGGGCAGTGTAGGCAGCGGTCAGCCCTAGGGTCACTGTAGGTGGTAGTGCAGGTACCAGCCCGGCTGCAGGCACCAGGCCAGAGACGTTACTCTCCATGTCAAAGAAGGAGGCCTGAAACCAGGAGACAGAGATGGAGAGCTGGCCAGAAGCCAGGGAAATACATACGGAGGGATGGGAACTTGCAGGAGGCGTGAGAGCTGGGGACTCTAAAGGAAAGAAGTTGGGGTTGCCAGGCCTTTCCTCTTCAACAGAGACGGGGTTGGGGGATGGGCACGGGTAACCTGGGCCCTGGACCCCTCACTCTGGAGTGTGTAAGGGTACTCTTTCCTACCCAGGGCAAATTGAGTGGGGGTTGGGGGTGTCGCTCCCTGGGTCAGCCCCAATGCCAAGATGGGAGGATGCAGTGGTACAGAAAGTCCCTGGCCTTGGTCGCTCGTGTCCGGCTGGCAGGAGGGGGAGAGCCGGCCGATGCCCGTCAGTTTAGGACAGCGGCCGCTGCGGGGGCGCCCAACGCCCCGCTCTCCCCCTCCCCACGCTTGGTGGCTCTTTCCCCTCCAATAATCCGGATTGGGGGGCTTCTTCCTCTGTCCTCAAGATTCCAGACGTTGTTCCCCCACCGCGTCCACCCTCAGCCCCGGTGAATAAGAGGAAGTCGATGTCAGGTCCTCAGGCCGCTGCTTGGGGAAGCGGGATCCGGTCGCCGGGACACCGAGCGCCAGCTCCCCGGCTCCCGCTGCTCCGCCCCACTCCTGCGCCTGCGCGGGTGTCCGTCCGCCACGCAAATTGCGTAGCAGCCGATGGGAATTCCGAGGCCGTGCGCCGCGCCCGGCGTGCAGATTTTCGAGAATCAGCGCAAGATGCGCTGCCGGCGGGCGTCCGGGGTTACGGATGGTGGCTGGCAGCCAAGAGGCGGAGACAAGGCGGCACGTAACAAGCTTGGTAACCCGTGCTCTGGACCGCCAGCTCTTAATGTTTGGGGGATCACTACTTCCCACGCTTAGACTCCCCAAGCCCACAATGGGATCGGATAGCCCATATGGGGGCGGCAACGACTTCCACGCACAGGTTCGCTGAAGGAAACTTCCGCCCACAACCAAGATGGCACCCCGGTACCGCCCCCTAGCTTCTGTCTGCAGGCCCTGCGCTCCGGCCTGCCTCCGCTTGCGCACACCTATTCTAGCAGCCGAGCCCCCGAGAGCCCTACGGCTCGCCCTCTTTGGTGCCCCTGTCCCTTTTCCCGCACCCGGCGGCCAGCCTGCCTGGAAGGAACTCCCGAGATGGCGCGGTGGATTGTCCCGGAGTTGGGCAGCGCGAGGCCTCCACGACAGGGAGGAGGAAGGAGCGTGCCTTCCCATCCCAGTCACTCAGTCCAGGGAGAGCAATAACTATCGCAACGATCATTGCATCCGGCGGCCGAGCTTCAATGAACGGCTCTACAAGTGCTTTCGCCCATAGTAATCACTGAGCTGTTTACAGAGTTTTCACCAGCTCCCCGGGGAGGTGTCATTAGCCCCATTTTATAGGAGGGAATTCGGGACCAGAGGGGCTAGAGGACTTATCAGCCGAAGCAGACTTCCAGGATCCAAATGGGAACCCCAAAGCAGCCCTCGTTGGCTCCTGCACAAGCCCTAGGCGTGAGGAAGTCCGATCCCGGAATCTGGAGCCTGGGGGACGACGCGGGAGGCGTCGGAGGAAGGCGGCAGAGACCAGCAGGTCGACGGCAGGGGTGGGACCTGGCTTGGGATGGCCCCGCCTCCGGGCCGACCCGGGATTTACTTCGAGAACTGATTGGGTCAGATCTGTGACAGTTCCCGTCGCCCAGGAAACTAGGACCCGACCCGGCGCCTTTAGAACTAGAGGGAGGAGGCAGGCCCGGGTTAGGGGCCTCGAGATCGGGCTTGGGGTGAGACCTATTCGCGTCATAACGGGCAAGCGGGACGCACCAGGGCCTGGACAGAGTTCTGAAGAGAGATTTAGTATCCCGGGAACAGCCTGTGTTCTCTACCAGGCCAGACCCAGCAGACAGATGAGTGCTTGGCAAGCGTGGTGGGCCTCGTGTGTGTGTGTGTGTGTGTGTGTGTGTGTGTGTGTGCTTGTGCTTGGCAAGCGTGGTGGGCCTCGTGTGTGTGTGTGTGTGTGTGTGTGTGTGTGTGTGTGTGTGTGTGTGCTGGTGGGAGAGAGCAGGGCGCCTCTTCCCTTCATCACCACTGTTTGCCTAGCAGTGCCCTGAGTACCTCTTACTTTGTCTCTACAGCCCAGAGTATGTTCCAGATCCCAGAGTTTGAGCCGAGTGAGCAGGAAGACTCCAGTACTGCAGATAGGCGCCTGGGCCTTAGCCTCACTGGGGACCAGTCAGGTCCCTGCCTGGCCCCAGGTCTCCTGGGGAGCATTGGACACCAACAGGAACAGACAGCCAACAGCAGTCATCATGGAGGTAGGTTTTCCACCACCCTCAATCTGCCTGTCCCTTTCCCCCCTGACTACTCTGCCGGAAGTCCCAGATATCTCTGAGCCTCAAATTGCCTCTCCTACAAACCAACTGTCACTACCTTTGTAGACCACTGGGTTAATTCACAGAAATGTGTGGCATGCCCTTAATGATCAAGCTGCTGCACTGAATGCTCAAAACCGACTCTTTTACTATAGCCCCAGGATAGACGTCAGTGGGAGGCAAGCAGATCCCCAAAAAGGAAGTGAGTTCCTAAGGACACCCTAAGAGGTGGTACTAGGAGACTCCTCAGTTCTTGGGTTCTGCCTGGGTTAGGGCCTTCGAGTGGCCAGTAGGTTTTAGGTTCTTTCTTTCTTCCTTCCTTCCTTCCTTTCTTTCTTTCTTTTGTTTTTTCAAGACAGGATTTCTCTTTGTAGCTCTGGCTGTCCTGACACTTGCTCAGTAAACCAGGCTGTCCTGGAATCTTGGAGATCCATCTGCCTCTGCCTCCCAAGTGCTGGGATTAAAGGTGTGCACCACCACTGCCCAGCCAATAGGTTCTTTCTTACCCCATGAATCACCGTAGGTCTGTCCTTGTGCCAATGGGACAGACTGGTGACCCAAGTGACAAACAGAAGACCAATATGAGGGTTGGAGAGTGTGAGTGCCAAAATGGAAGGAGAGGCATTGAAAGATACCGGTTGTCTCTCAGAACTATCCACTCCCCAGAGTTGGGGCATGTCACTCGCTTGCTAGAGCTTAAATGACCTTCATTTCCTTTTTGAGACAAGGCCTCATATATCCCAGAGCTGCCTCGAAGTTGCTATACAGTTGAAACTAGCCTTGAACTCCTAATCCTCCTGCCTCAATACTGGGTTTACAGGTGAGCCAACATGGCTGGCATTCTATATTTTTTTAAATTATATGTACCTGTGTGCCTGTGTATGTAAGTGCAGGTGCCTTGGAGTCCAGAAGAGGTTTTGGGATCCCCAAGAGCTGTTGTAGGTAGTTGTGAGCTGCCCATGTGGTTGCTGGGAACTGAACTCACACCCTCTGCAAGAGCAGTAAATGCTCTGAGCCCTCTCTCCAACACACCACACTTTTTAGCTTCCAGAATTCATGATTGTTCTTTTTCTGCTCCTAGCTCCTATCCATTCTTTGCCCTTACCTGGCTGTTCCATGTCATCCATGAAGTGCACTAACTCCTGCGCATCCATGTCCTACAGGTGGGACAAACCACCAACAGAGGTGCTCAGGAGATGATGTGTGTTGTAAACAGAGAACAGAGTCCCAGGGCTATATGAGTGACTTACCGAGGACGCCAGGCTTGCCTTAGGAGGGAGCAACCCTATAGTTAAGCCTGAGAGTTAGCTGTTCTCAAGCCCATGTTTCAGTAAAGACAAGTGGAAGTTAGGTGCCAGGATAAGAATCATTCTAGGATAACAGGGCCCCAAGTAAGGAAAGGGGAAGAAGGGAAGTAAAGCCCCATCCAATTCAGTCTGCGCAGGTCTTTGAGGCTCCTGTGAGAAAAACTTTGACTGGAATCCTGGGAAGATTTTTTTTTTTTTTTTTTTTTCCTCTTATGTGCTGGGATAGAACCCAGGCCACTGCACTTACTGAGCAAGTGCCCTTCTACTGAGCCACATCCCCAGGCCTAGGTCTATAATGAAGACAGTGACAGCCTGGGAGTTGGGTGGGGAGGAAAGAGGTATTAAGGAAGACACCCAGCACCCTTGAACGTTGAAAGAAGGAGCGATGGGGTGGGTCAGGCATCAGGTAGGAACTTTTAGACATGTAGGTAGGATTCCAGAAGGCTGCTAGTGAGCACAGCAGGGAGCTGATCTGAGTTGTGTTTGTAATAGACAGGCAGGAATAGGTGCTAGAGGGTGTATGCAGAGAGGAAATAGTGCTTGTGGGGTGAGCTGGCACAGTGGCAAGGAGAAGCGCTACCTTGGGTTTTATACCTACTCCAAGGGGGTATGCGCCAACAGGAAGGTGGTGGCAGTTGACTGGCATCGTGCTAAGGTGGAATCATTTGATAAATGACAGGGTCTAGGTTATGCCAGTGGAATGAGAGACTGAGAGGAGGGATGGACACATGTCACGAGAGGAGAGCAAGGAACAAGGAGATGAAGAAGTCAGCACTCAGGAGGACCACTCAAGTTCAATAAACTCAGAGTAGAGAAAGGGACTGGCAGAGAAGCAGGGTATTTTGTATCCAAGATGGGCAAGTCTGAGGCGTGGGGTTGGGCAATGACAGGCTCTGAAACCTGATTTAGGGAGGGCAGTGAAAGCATGGCCTGCAAGTATGGCAAAGGAGCCAAAAGAGTTGCACTCCAGCTTAGTTCCAGCTCCATGAAAAAGCTGCTGTGAATGAGGTTGCCAGGGGAAACAGCCATGGATAAGGAAGGTAGCTGAATGTCCTCTTTGCTTCCTTGCTCTCCCATGCTAGGCAGGGGCTAGACCATGGAGACACTCCCTGAGCTAGTGTGTTTGTGTGTGTATGTGTACTCGTGTGTGGTGGTGGTGGGTTGTAAACATTTGATTTAGTTTTTAGTTGTCTCAAAAGCAATTGCCAGAATTGGGTGTGCTAGTATATGCCTATAATCTTAGCACCAAGCAAGCACTGATGAGTTTGAAGTCAGCTTGCATGAGTTTGAGGCCAACTTACACTCCTTAGTGAGACCCTGTTCCAGAAAAACAAAACAGCACAAAATTCCATAAAGAGATTTGCAAGTGTCAGGCCTATTAAGAGCCATGGAACTTCTGGTCATCTCTGAAGTCAGTTCACCGTGGTCCTGCCTCTCCTGCTAGCTACTTGCACCTTGCCCACTGGGCTGTGAGCATCCCTAGGCAGGGGCTGTAATGCAATGCTACGACAGACTGCATAGTGGGAAGGGGAGAAGGCCATAAAATGGGAGAAGCAGCCAATACTGTCCTCTGGACCAGACTGAGGAGGGCCCTTTGGGTGCTGAATGAAAGGTTAACTGCTTCTACCTGAATTTCCCAATCTGTAAAATGGAAATATACCTGTTCCTACTTTACAGGGCTGAATTCATGTGAACAATGCTTAGAAACTGCCTGGCACAGATGAGGTACAATGGAGGTCCTGTGTCCTACTACTACCATAGTTGTGCTTACCATTATTACTGTGAGTTGGCTCAGGCTCTGCAGAGTTGGGTTGCCATCAACAGTAAGGGCATTGAACATCCACTGTTCTTGGATGGCAAACATGATGTATAGGTTAGACTCTGGATAGAAGTGACTTGAAAGCATTCATTCCTTCAGTACAGCCATTCAAAGTTTAAGGCAGACTTAGTTGGGCTTTAGAGCAAGGATTGGGAAACCATAGTCATGGCCTAAGCCATGCTCCTGAGCTAGGAATATTTTTGTTGTTGTGTTTTGAAGTTTTAAGGTTAGGATTCAGGGCCTCCATCTTAGTAGGCAAACACTCTTATCACTGAACCACATTCCCAGCCTTTGTTACATTTGCTAAGACAAAATCTCACTGTGTTGCCTAGGCTGGCCTCAAACTACTGGGGTTAAGCAACCCTGCTGCCTCAGACAGCCAACTAGCAAGTAGCTGGGACTGCAGGCTTGCAGCCCCTCCAGGAACAGGTCTTTATTTTGTCTTTTCAAGACAAGTCTTTTCTGAGTAGCCCTGGCTGGCCTTGAACTCAATCTGCTGTCCTTGATCTGTTTCTACCTCCCAAGAGCTTGAATTAAAGGCGTGTGCTACCATATCCAGCTGGGAACAGTTTTTATCTATTGAAATGGTTGGTTGACAAACTCCTGGGGGCAAATGATTATTTTTTTTTTCAAGACAAGGTTTCCCTGTGTAGCTCCGGCGGTCCTGTAGACCAGGCTGTCCTTGAACTCACAGAGATCTGCCTGCCTCTGCCTCCCAAGTACAGGGATTAGTGGTGCATTATCACCACCTGTTTTGTTTTAACAATATTTTATTGTAACAGGTAGAAACCATATGAAATTCATATTTCTGTGTTCTGCATTACTGTGTAAAGTGATGGTAGGCACAGCAGTGTTTTGAGTGACATTTTGTTGAATACTCCAGCTACAAGCAAGCTGGGCTATGGTTATTATGGAGGCCCTGACAGAACACTTGGCCAGAGCAGGGCCAGGTGAGGCTCCAGGCTAGAACTCTAAAACGCCTTTCCTTAAGGCTACAGCGCAAGTCTGGGCAGGCCACCATGGAGACAAGGGAGGCACAGGGGCCTGCCCTGCCCGAGGGCAGAGCTTCTCTGCTTGGAAGGGTATAGAACATTACTGTTTTTCACACACAAACACACACACACACATACACTGCCATGTTTTGTGTGTGTTTAAGGGCATGTATGGAGGTCAGAAGATAATTTTTAGGAGTTGATTCGGGTCTCAGGAATTGAGTTTAAGTAATCAGGCTTGTCAGTAAGCACCTTTTCCTGTTTATCACCCCTTGGGCACTCCTACCAGTTTTAATGGAGTATGCCAGGATGCTTCTTGAACTGTGAATTTTCTCATTCAGCCACACCCACTTACCCATCTCTTCCCATTCCCCCACCCCCAGTCTGTCTGGGAGGGTGGCATAAATCCACAGGACTGAGCATCCACCCAGAGAGGATCCACCCATCCCCTGAGGGATTGAACACACCCCACCCACCCTCTTTAAGATCCAAGGAGTTCACAGAATCCCCAGGTTCAGGTTCTTTCCAGTAAATGCAAAGATGTTTCTAAAAGTTCCATTCAGGGGCAGGAAAAGCAGCTCGGTCTGTCGAGTACTGGCCTAGTGTTTGTGAAGCCCTGGTTTCCAGTCTCAGCACCTCATTAACTGCAGTTGGGAGGTGGGAGCAGAGGGCCAGAAGTTTAAGGCCAGTATTTCAGCTACCTAAGACCCTGTTTTCATCACTCAATTAAAAAGTCTCGACACAAATGGGTGTCATTGTGTTGTTGAGGAGCTTGGCATTGCTGAGTACCTTTAGCGACTTGACAAACCTCCATGCCACGGCATAGGCTCTTGGCATAGTTGACATTATTGGAGGAGGAAGAAAATGACTTCTCCAAATTGGCCTACTGTGGCACTGTTGAAGGGGGGCTAAGACAATGAGACGAACAGACTGGTTGTGTTTGCACCAGTCTGTCACTTACTGTGTGACCTTGGATAGGTTGCACACTCTGTGCCTTAGCTTCATCCCCTGTAAATTGAGGAACTTCCCCAGTGAGTTGAGACCTAAATTAATCAATACCAAGAAAGCTTCCAGCCCGACCTGTCAGTGTCCTTGATTGGTTGTTTTTTTCTTTTGTGAGGTTCTGTGGATGGAACCTAGGGCCTTGGGCATCTAAGCAAGAATTTAACACTGTTCATGAAAGCAGATTTGTTGGGGGAGGAGAACATGGGCCACAGTGCCCAAATGCCAGTGCAGGTCAGAGGACAGCATGTGGAGGTCATTTTCTCCTAACCCCTTTCCACAGATTCCAAGGTTCCCACTCAGGTCTTCAGGCCTGTCCTGGAAGCTTTACTTGCTGAGCAGTTTCACCAGCCCTTAGTGAAGTCCAGGATAGGGGTGGGGGGTTGGGGGTGTTCACTGAGCTCCCACCAAGGCCACCTGGAAGTCATTCACACCAGAATGCTGTGGTTCTAGGGCTTGGGTCCAGATGAACTGACATTCCATTGTTCAGTGGAGACAGTGCAGCACCAGGGGACTCAGACATATTCCTTTCAGCTCTGGCTTCCTTCTCTGTGAGATGGGAGAACTCCACATCTGCCATACAGGAGCCAAGGTGGAGTGCTTTTCCTTATCTCCACAGTCTTATCTGTTATCATGGTGATTCTGTGAGCAAGGCTATCCCCATGCCACAGAGAAAGGCACCAAGGTGCCGGAATTGGGGAAGTGGGTTCACAGTCACAAAAAAAGGGGATCCACCTAGCTGCTGAGTAGCCCCCTGAAATATTCTATAAATGGACAGTGGTGTGTTCTGGCCAGGTGCTGTGAGCAGACCCAGGCCAGGCCTTTCATGATGGTTCCTTCCTTCCCTCTGGGTTTCTGTTACATGTCTGTAGCTGGGACCCTCAGGCCTGGAGCTGAGCTGCAGAGTTCTGTCCATTGACCTTTGAGAAAGGGAGTCAAACTTTTCAACCCGGGGGTGATTTTACCTCCTCCCAAGCTTTTCCTGCAGACACTGGGTATGGGCAGCAGCCTGTGTCTGTCTATGGACTCTGCCCCTGGGAGTGGTTCTGGGTCTTCACTGGTCTGGGCAGAGGGGTAATGATGGCAGAAGTCAGGGTTGCACACAGTACCCAGATCAGAGAAGCAGATCACTCACAAGTCACTTGCAGCTCACAGGGCATGTCTACACTCCAATGTGACCTTTACACAGGTGCATTAGTGTGCAGGGTAGGTGAGACTCCCTTCATGAAGGGAGGAAACTAACTTGGAATTGAAGGGTGGCTGGGCAAGGCAAGGCAATAGTTGCACAGCCTGATGGGCCCTGGGTTCCAAACTCAGGGACTTCTGACCTCAGGCTAACAGCCTTGTCAACCTGAGAAAACTGACTTCTCTGAACACCTGTGTAACTATTGTCTGTCCCCCACTCCACCATTTGTGAGGAAGGAGGGAAAAAAAAAAAAAAAAGACTACATGTTGTCCTGTAGTAGAGACTGACCTTGAACTCCTCAACCTCCTGCTTCCACTTCACCAGTGCTGGGGTTGTAAATATGAACCACCGCGTCCAGGACGAGCCTCTAAGTCGGTCTGTAGAACCAGGTGGTGAAGATAGTCTCAGAAAAATACCCCCCCCCCAATTCTGGACAGTCTCCACAAAAAAAGGTGCAATACGGAATGCAGAGAGTTGTTCTCCAAGAGCCTTGCAAAGACCTACTTAGCTGTTGCTATCATGGGATAGTTACCTCTAGTGCCCGTATTTTGGAAAGGCACAGTATCAGTCTTTTTGTACCTTTTTGTACACTAAAGGTGGCCTTCATTACTGGCACTCTGAGCTCCCTCCATTCGCAAAGAAGTTACTGGGGCTATTGGAAGGCGAATGTGAACGACAGCTTGTCGAGATTCACACCTCTTCCACCCTGACTCCTGCAGGCGTTGGGGCTATGGAGACCCGGAGTCGCCACAGTTCATACACCGCGGGAAACGAAGAGGATGAAGGGATGGAGGAGGAGCTCAGCCCCTTTCGGGGCCGCTCGCGTTCGGCTCCCCCCAATCTCTGGGCCGCGCAGCGCTACGGCCGCGAGCTCCGAAGGATGAGCGATGAGTTTGAGGGTTCCTTCAAGGTGAGCGCCCGCGAAATGTGCGACGGTACCTATACCCACGGGCCCCTTCTATCTAGGATATTTCGTGTTGTCCCTTTAGTGTTGCAGGGCATGCCGAGTCTTGCAGTTCTAATCCGCCCCCTGTCTTGTAGATCTCTGACTCTGGGGTTCCATTTAGGATCCCAGCAGTCTGTAGGCTCCAACCAATCCCGATTCTTGAGAGCCTGCCCAGTGTAGGGCATGCTGGTGGCAGTGATCTTTATATTCCAACTCAGAATGTGGGAACTTGATTCGGGACGACAGGGTGAGGCTCACTCAAATAATTTAACTCTTTACTCTCCCTCCCCGAAGGGACTTCCTCGCCCAAAGAGCGCAGGGACTGCAACACAGATGCGACAAAGCGCCAGCTGGACGCGCATTATCCAGTCCTGGTGGGATCGAAACTTGGGCAAAGGAGGCTCCACCCCCTCCCAGTGATCATCTGCTCCATATTTCCGGAACTCTACCCGCTCCCGTCGCCCGCCATATTGGGTGTGGGCGGAAGAGGCCTTGGGTATAAAAAGAGGATCGCTGCGTCCTTTTAACTGGGAGAATTGGCCAACGGCTAGACTCCCTTCCGGTGCGTGCAATAGCCACGAAGGGGTGGTTCTGGTTGGAAGTTTCAAAGCTTTCGCCTCCTCAACCCCAACTTCCGGAAGTGGCAACTTTGTGCCCCTCTCCCGTACCGGGCTGCCCTCAGGCGCCTGCGCCACCCCAGCTTCCGGAAGTGGCAACTTTACCCCTTTCCCGTACTGTGCTGCCCTCCGGTGCCTGCACCAAATTGCGAGCGGGTTAAATCGTTACTTGGCTGCAGTCCTATGCGAACTGGGAGCCCGTGGTCGCAACAAACGTGCTTTATAATAAAGCCCGCGCCTGTGCAGCCGCATCCTCTGTCCCTCGTTTGGGGTTCCGCAAACCGAACTATTATTTCTGATAGTTTTAAGCGACTCCTTTTACCCGTAAGGGAAACAGGCTCTAAGGACTGAGGCCAAGAAATCGAGGCAACCAGCGGATCCCAGCTGCTAGGCTTAGTGATGATGGTAAGGGAGCAGATCCTGGCTGGACCCCTGGGACTGCCAGGCCCTTATCTCTAATATGGTAAATTGGGAACTGCAGCCCAGCCGGCCGCCGGAACTCAGCTCTCGGCAAACCATGCCGCGGCTCCCCAGGGGCGGGGGGGGGGTCATTTGCTCCTATTTGGGTCAGTCCTTGTGAGCAGCTACTGTGTGACCGGCCTGGGGCCTGTGCTGCTCAGGGACCTGGCGGGGCACGCTGGGCGGGGCGACACGATCGCTAGGGAACGGAGAAGCTTCTCATGGGGACCTGGAGCAGGGCCCAGAGCTCAGTTCAGAGATTTATTGGCGCCCCTATAGCCCAGGCCAGTGCTTTGCGCTGGATATGCAGATAAGTTGCGCCACAACCTTGCTTCCCGGAACATGGGAGGGGGCGGCCCCAATGGCAGGGCCTCAAGGAGTAGGTCAGGCTTGAAAGTGAGGCTGTATCTGGGACTGTCACTCTCAGCAGGATATACCAGGATATTGGAAGTTAGCTTATTTTGGGGATCCCAGCCCAGAGTGTTTGGGGGAAATGGAGGTCAGCCAGTCAGCAGTACGAGACATGGAGACATGGAATACAGAAAAGTGGCAGACCTGGGAACAGGACACAGACTAATGAAGGTGGCTTGGGCAATGGTACGAATCTCAATCTCAGAAACAGCAGAGACCTTAGCCCTGAGAAGCCCAACCCTGGCTACCCAGTTTCTCTGGCCTTCCTACCCAGTCTGTTTGCCTGGGGCTGCAACAAAAACAAAGCAAAGACTTCATTGGCAGGAGATAAGCCCAGATAAGAGGCTGCCTTCCTCTGGAGGGAGCAGCCAGTCCCCAACCTCCAGGAAGCAGGGAGAGGCCTTGAAGAAATGCCAGCCTGCCTCAGCTGGAGGGCCTGGCTCATTCTCTTGCCACAGGGTCTCTGGTGTTCCTGGCTGGTTCCAGGCTTGGAGCAGGTCCTCCAGGCTGGTGAAGACCGTCTAGCACAGGACCAGCATGCAGGCCATCCTGCCTCCTGGCAGGTCTCCACTTAGCTATGGCCCAGTATACGACACAGCTTCCATTCAGGGCCTGTTTCCGTATCTGTAAAACAGGCAAAACATCTCCCTCACAGGGGTGAGGGGGCCTCAGGGTATCCACAGAGTATCATAGCCCCTGCCGGCAACAACCCTTAAGACTGCCAGCTTCCTTTATCCTAAAAGCCATGGACCCTTCCCAATGTGACAACTCCATCCCTGTGTCATGCCCTCCGTAGCCCTGGCAGAAGATACTGGGAGCTTGGGTCATATCAGGCAACAGGAAGGAGGGCAAGGAAGACTTCCTGAAACAAGGTCTGAGCCTGAGCAAAGACACAGGGAGAAACTAAGAGAGAGGAGACTAAAAGGGCTATGGAATCTAGGGGCCCAGGGTAGAGAGTTCAGAGCTATCTCTGGCAGGGAATAAGGTCACCAAAGACTTTGGGCAGCTAAGTTCAAACCTTGAGACTTTTTGCTAGGAGTCTGACTACAATGGCACAACCCCATTTTACAAGTGAGGAAACTGAGGTGCCAGAGACAATGGCAGTACCAGAGCTGGAGCCTGGGATGTTTTTATCCACACCACACCGTACACAGGGTCCCTGAAGTCCATTTTTATTCACGTAAAAAATTCCCAAGTATAAAGGGTTGCCTCTGCTTCCCAGAGCTCCAGGGTTCCATCTACTGCTCCTTGGGAGTGGGGGAACACCCATCTTGGGTGAGTGTTATGGTGTATAAGCCCAGCCCTTTTCCTAGGCCTGAGGTTAGAAGGAGAGGCTGAGGACTGAAAAGGCCCCAAGAAAATGGAGTTAGTGTGAGGCATTTGTCTCAGATTTTAAAAAAATAAAATTTCTAAAGATAAAATGTTAAAAAACAAAACAGTAGTGTCTTGTACCCACTGCCCAGTGCCCACCCCAGTCCAGTGGCCACCTCTTGCTCAGCCAGTTTAAAGCTGGGTGTTTTCTTCCTGGCTCTCCGAGTCAGCGCTGGACAGGTGCCCACCACTCCCAGGTGCATGACCATTGCTGGCACAAGCCACCAGGGGGCCATCTCCCAGCCCCTCTGATGTCTCGCCCAGCAGACATCGGCGGATCTCCTGGGGCAACCTGTCACGATGTTCCTGACACTCCTGGGTCAGTTGGGCCAGCAGCTGCAAAAGGATGAGTGTCCCAGAGGGGCCAAGCTGCCCAGCTCCTGTACTACCCACCTGCCTGCCTCCTCCCAGGCCTCACCTTGGGCTCCTCTTCTACTAGCTGCTGAAGCACTTGCTGCTGCCCTGCCATGAGGCGCTCATGGCGCTGCTTCTGGGCCTCTTCCAGCTGCAAGGAAGGGCAAGAGTTCAGCTGAGGGAGGGGCAAGACGGGGGGGGGGGGAAGGGGGACACACTGAAATGAGGGAGGGGGGAACAGGGCTCCCAAGGACACTAAAGGTGTCAGACGTGATGCAGGCACCAGAGGCCGTCGGTACAGTCCCTGGAGGAAAGGCGTTAGGAGCTTTTGGAGAGCAATGTGGCACCGAGCCAGGCTTGGAAGAGCTGAGTTTTTGATGAGTGAAGGAAGAAAGGCGGGGCCCACTCACCCGTCTGATGGAGTTGACTGACTCAGTGATATGCCGCCGATTAATCTCTGTTAGTTCCCTGCAGAGGTGAAAGGGATGGCTCAGTGCCTAGGCTCCCTCCCTGCCTCCCCTCACCCAGTGGCTCCCAGGCCCAATACACTTACACCTCCTTCTTATGTTTCTCTCTTGTCTTGGCCTCTGAGATACTATTGTTGCGCTTCCTGTCCAGGATCTTTTGAAGCTCCTTCTTCTCCCTGGAGCAGCAAGGCGGGACAGGAGGGGATCAGAGGCAGGACTCCTGGCACCAGAGTCCCACCGCACTCACACAGAACCTTGTCTTTACCTTTCATTCAGCTCCTTCAGTCTCTTCAACTGGGTTGTGTGTGCATCCAGGACAACCTCCCTGAGCCGCTGCTGAGCCTGGGGACACAGGCAGCCAGCCAGCAGGTAACACAGGGCTGACAGGTCTACCCAGGAAGCTGGCTCTCCTTGCCTACACCACAGGCCCCTCTCACCTGTCTCAGGTGCTCCAGCCTCCGCTCGGTTTCTGCATCTGCCTGGGCCTGTCTCAACTCCAGCAGGCTCTGTACCTGTGGATTCTGGAACTCTCGATGCTGCCTGGCCTCCTCTTCCTCCTCCTTAATGTCCTCTGTATTGGTGGCTCTGCCCCTGTTAGGGAGAACCTTCTCAATTGTGCCAGGTTCCGGGCCTAATACAGTTACAGCAGGGCTCATGCCAGCAGGCTGCGGCAGGCAAACAGCCAGGTGAGGTCTACTATGCAAATCAAGAGGACCAGCAGGGGCCAGCAGCTGTACAGCTGTACCGTTAGTTCCACACAGGTGATGTGTTCCTGCTTCTTGGCATCCTTTGGAGGAGGCGTTACTCCCAGGGAAGAGTGAGGACCAGTATGGGAACCTACCTCCACCTTCCTGTCATTCAAGCATGCCCACCCAGCATGGAGAGCCACACACGCACCTCCCTCCAATATTCCTGTCAGCACACAACACAGGGCAATAGGCTGCAGGGCACTCACAGGGCGCTGGAGGAGGACCGGCACTTGCTCTCAGCCCGGGCCTGGGCCAAGCCATCCAGACGGCGGGTGAGGGCCATGGCCTTGCGCTGGTGCTTTTTATGCAGCTCTCTCAAGTCTCGTTCCTGTCGGCTCCGGAGCTTCACCATAGCCTTATGGTTTCGGAGCTCCTCCAGAGGGGTAGGGGTCACCTCTGCAAGGGAGAGGTGTTGGTAGCAAGCAAAGGAGGCAGGATAGCTGGTGAGACGGGTTGGGCATGGCTGAACAGGGTGGGGTAGATGCCCTCCAGGTGGCCCTACCCCCATCAGGCTGTGCCCCTTACCAGAGAGTATGCTGGCAATCAAATCATCTCGCTGCCCTGGAGAGCAGAGGCTTTGGTGAGAAGGTAGGCAGTCTAGCAACAGATAGCTCCCCTTGGCCCACTCAGGACAGGCTTCCCCTTACCTGGGCTACTGAGGGACGTGCTAGTGGGGGAGGTGGTAGGACCTTGGGGCCATCGAGGTGAGGCATCCAGTGGGTTAGGTGTGGGATTGGGCAAGAGCTGTGACCCTGGCTGTTGAGACTGCGTCTCCTGATATGTCTCTGTACTGGCCTGAGCCTGCAAGAGAGAAACGCTTTTCCAAAAATGTTTTCTCCATCTCGGGGTCCTTTCACCTCTGGATGCCATATGCCCCATCAGCTCCCTCTGCCCGCACGATAAAGAGATAAACAATAGGTACCCCTGGACCCTAGTCCACACCAGCCAGAAAGGCTGTGTGCTACCAGGTCATTACATGTCTTCAACAATTCCCAGATAATTCTGGAAAAGCCTGGCCTGGCCCCAAAAGTCCTCCTCTGTGTCCCTCCCACCCTTGCCTGGTGGTTTGTCCTCCTCCTGGATGCTCAGCTCTGATTTAATCAGCAGAGGAAGCAATGGCAGAGCGGGCACCAGTCTCTTCGACTAACAGCTCCTCACAGCCCTAATTGCAGTCATTTCTTTCCTGGCCGCCACAGGCCCCATGGGGACCGGGTCAGGACATGTGGCTGAACCTCTGCTCCTGGCGCCTCCCCACTGAAGCCACTACCTCCTCATGGTTTCCCTGCCTTCCAATGCCCCAGTGCCTGTATAGCCAAGCTTTTTACTCCACCTAAAGCTTGAGAAACTCTAGTCTAGACACAACCCAAATCAATGCAAATGAGTACATCCTCTTCCAAGAGTCCACAGCTGAGCTGAGGGTACAGGTCAGTAGTAGAGCAT